GCAAATTATCCACTTGTGCCCAGTTCATGGTCACTTAGCCGCTGAATAATCAATCCCATCAAGCGCACATTTAAATGCTTTGCTGCTGTGATACAAGAGTTTAAAATGACCAACCATAGACAACGCATCAGGAACCGCAGTCAAATAAACTGATTTGGGATAACGCAGCTGGTATCGCGTGCACTAAAATCATTAAAAATTTTGTGGTTAGAATACAAAGCTGTTGTTTTATGCTTGCTTTGATCACCATTTTTCAGGATACTCTCCTTCTTCGAAGGATTTTACCCGACTATTCACCAAAGGTAAGGTGTCTTGAATCATGTGGGAAAGGTCCACCATTAATTATAATTAAAGAAGCAATGGCTTCATTTTCACAGATGATTCTCTAGCGTAGCTTGTGCTCCCAGTTGCAATCAATATAAATACCATTCTTTATGTGATTATAAGATCCGCTGTAGCTATGTTGAAAGGTAAACTGGATGGGGTTATATAATTTCACTTAGATGGAGCATGTGCCTTCGAGAGGGAAGGATTTTTGCTGATTTTAGAGAGTTTCATTTTTGAATTACATCTGTATCCTGTAATTAATTTATAGGACATGTTCCAAAAGTGACTTCTACAAGGGGGGCGGGAGTCGTACAGTTTTGGAATTCCTGCAAGATATGCTGTGTGGCGAAGAGTCCAACTAGATGCTATCCTAAGGACATAAGACTAATTCTGAATGAAAAGACCACTTGTTAGTCTTATCAGATATGAAGACCATTAATTTGTAAGACCTGATATGAAGTCAGTAAGAAAACGAGTGGTAGAGAACAGCCGCCGGTAAGTATATCCAGGTTTTAGAATATTCAGTATTACAACTTGTCGCCTGGACTACACAAGTAGCGGGAAATTCGAATGGGGTGGCAGTTTTCCACGCTTCCTACGTCACCAATAACAGACTTCTGTCATGCTTCATGCGGTTGTTGGATTCGTCTAATTGAAGCGATATTTTCAACCCAACCTGGACGCCATAGAGCATACAAGCGCGGTGAGCGTACTGATGCGCAAATTTGGTTGATCCAGAAACTGAGTTGACAGCTGCGCTGAAGCAGGACTGGAGAAGTGTTAATGGGAACATCACTTACAGCTTCGGAAAAAATGCGTTAAAGAGATTTACGAAGTGTCTGGTGATATAACCGGAACATATCATCAAAATTTCTTTCAACGAGAAGGTACCATGAAGTGGTCGTGTAAATTGTTGTACCTATTTTCAACCTCCTGTTTTACACCACTTGGTAGGATTGCAATTCTTTAGAATTCTTACTGTGTCCATCACCAGCTGACAGATATCGTTCATTTGTATCCACCAGGTTGGTCCTACGGGTAATCAAATAATTTTGTGGGGTGTGTACTTTATTTGTTTCAGCCCAAAGTGAGGCTGAGATTGTCTCACCTCGAATTAACAGAATCAGTTGTAATTTTTGTTTGGAACGGTTCTGCTTTGAGTCGTGTGGTTTGGGAGGAGAGTTTGGCACCCCAAAACACTGATGAGCCAGAGCAAAATCACTCTTTTATTCCTCATCCTTGTCTGTCCTTCATTACATGGCCCTTCACTTTAGACTCTCCCAGAAATGTTCAGTTTACAACAACAAAGTGGCTCACAGCTTTTATCAGCAATGTATTGAACACCCCAGTGGGTCTGTGGTTAAACCTAGTTGAACGACAGTTACATTAACATTTGAGGATAGCCAACGAGTTAGTACATCACACAGCTGGACAGAAAGGATTTCACTCGTTATAATCACCGATTATTTTCGGCCAACCAACAAAACGTCCGTCCAAAATGTGGGCCATTTTTAAATAGGAATCAAGAGAACATAAGCAACCTAGAAATTCCATAGAAAACCTGTCATTTTTTCTTCATGCTAGTCAATTGGTAAAATTGTCCCCAAACCGACCGGTTCCGTACCGTTGAACTTAACTCGTGAACATTATTGTTTTCTTCCCCGAAACAAACGAGTGTAATATACCGGAAATCGACCAGAACCGAGGAGCCGTTCCGTTGGTTCCATCAGCACTTAGTCACACCAGCAAGCAACCCTGTGTCGAAGTGGACTTCATTTCCGTTGAACAAGACGCACACGCATCCATACACAATTTTTTGCTTACTTGACAGGAAATTCGGGCTGGGTGCTCACCACCTGGACGCACTCTACTTTGCCAGTGCGGGCTACCTAATTGATTATGTCATTGTTTGGGTTGTAAGCTCCACTGTCCAGAGGGGAGTATTCATACACATTCATCGTGTGGGCTAGAACGGCGGTGAATGAATGAAATCCCGTTTTCGTGGATGTTTTATGGAGTGTGGTGCGCAACAGCAGACATTCAGCTGGGAAACCGGTCACACATAAAAACGGTTATTATAAATAAAAGGCAGTTTTATGATGCATAAGAAGCAACTTCTTGAGCCTGGAAATACAGAAATATGTAACAGTGGTAGAAGATTAATGGAAATCAAGGTTACCACTCCCTGGTACTGTAGAAATAGCCAGAATTCTTGCTTTTCACACGTTGAGTACGAAATCCTGGTGTAGCGTTTGCCTAAGGACGATGTATTGTTTTTAAAAGAGTGGCAGAGCTTAAACTGGCATACGTTTCTTTTGAGGCTCGCGACTATGAACTGGCACTTCGTTGTGACCTCGACAGATTGACTGCATATCAAGTCATAACGTAGGCTCATTCAAAATAATGCATTTTGGGCATCGTTCCACAGAAGAGGTAAACGCAAATACGAATCTACTTAGAGCTTCGTACTCAAATATCTTGCTTCTATCACTTTGTTGCACGAATGTAAATAGAAATCTCTGGTGTTTTTCTCAGTACCTTGACTATTACCACGCGGAAACCTAAAGTAAGGAGCGTCCATTTCAGAGCGTGAGTTTTCGCCTCTCAAAATGTTCCTTATTCTTATCTCTCTTTGTGGCGACAAACTTTCCAAGGCCTAGGTGGGTGCTTTCTAGTTTCCAAAAGGAAGTGCCACAACAACATTGCCTTTTGGTACAGATGCAAACATCTAAGTCGACTTTCAAGCAGACAATTTACTTCCAACGTCACACATCAGTGGACTAACCAAATTTTAACCCCGCAGAACTCCAGATTAAGGTACCTTATTCGGAAGACGGAAAGTGAACCAGTAAAGGCTTCCAGTCTAGTCCTCTGCTAATATCGTGTTCGACGCCGATGACTCCGGGTCTCGGAGAGTTTATTGATTTCGCCGTTGGGAACTGGTTCACTACAAGACTACGCACAGCTTTCCACCAACCGCCGGTTGTGTAGTTTTTAGGCCGCATCATATCTGGAGCTTGTTACTCTCTTGTCGAAGATAGTCCCAGTGATCACCAAGAATATTCTATGCCTTCAAACTGTATGTTTAATGAAGATGGAGTGCGTGAGGGAATGTGGCTTACTCTAGAGAAAAGTCACAAGTCATCCACCTAAGTGTTGGCAGTTATCTGTAGGATTTATGCAACGCAGAAAGTTCCACTAGCACATACTTATTTCTGAAGGCGCAGGACGTTGGATGTATTGGTAGAGGAAATTAATACCCTATTAGCGAATATACACTCATTTGCAAACTAATTTGGTTTTTCGAGAGACTCACCTGGAACCCAGCTTGAACTCTACTGGTAGAGTTTGCATTCGCCTCACTCTCGTATGGACAGTTCTCCTTCTATCACGGGGTAATTATAGCGGTTAGTACACATCAAACAGGAGAAACACTGCACTTTGAAATTCAACAGTTCAAAAGTCCCTAGAAGCAACCCTTCCCAAAAGATTTGTCTAAAAAGCAATAAGTCAATTATTCATACTTGTGTACATTTCCTTTTGATGCAGGAATAAGACAACCACATTTTCTGCCGCTGGGTGTTTGGACGAATATCTGTATGACCTTTATTAGGTAGCTTGCTCTTAAGGGCCTTTTAGTTCTTCTGAGTACTGTTAGGTTACTGGTCATCTCAATGTATGAATTCGGTAAGCTGGACAAAACGCCACTTGGTTACAGATGCTTTAGCCTGGGACTGTTTTTTTCTATATGGTACGTCTTCCTCAGCTGACGATTGGCTCCTTAAGGTTATCAATCCTATTATGTTGTTCTTACAGAGGAAAAGATTCTGTCGATATCACAGCAGTACTTCCACATCATTCTCTTGGGTTTGCTTGACAAAATTTCTTCTGACGGAAACCGGAGAGCGCGGTTACCTTCAACATTCTACTACATATTGGAGATTCATGGCATCTGTCAAATAAGAGAAGCAGTTCAATAAAAACTTTGAAAGACCGCAGGGTGTTGGAACGGAAACCGTCTGAATGAGGGGCATTTGAAGACATACAACTGTGGAGCGAGTTCAACGGAGATTATCTGTAATAGTCTCCTTTACTGGTTCTTGAACAGTGAGTAAAATGAGTGATAGAAGCCTGTGTCCAATTTACGCTGTTGTGTCCTGCGGGGAGGTTTTACTTATCTGGCACAGGACATACAACGGCGTGTACATTCCTTCCGTGACAGATTCTGGTAGTATCACGTTATGTAACTATTATTGTGGTGAATGATGTAGGTCATTAGGATGTATTTCTTGCATTATCAATGCGACTTTGCTTCACTAAATTAGAGAGAAGACTGAAAAGAATGAGAAACGGAATACAGGGTGGACTACACTAATGTTAGTCACAACCCTGAATATACTCTAGCCCAAAGCACTCAGTTGGAAATCAGTTTGTTTGCAAAATCCCCAACCAGTTAAATTTGGGTAATAGGACGGCGACTGTCTTCCATACAAAACTTTTTGAGCGATGAGGCGTCAGATGGTCTGGCACAGTTGTGACTGACAGCTTCACGTAAGAAAAGCAAATTTCGGTCTATGATGCCATCCAAGATCGTTGTCTCCCCCTTTCCCACATCCGTCCTCGCTTTGTACAAAGAGTCCTCCACGTGGACAGACAAACATACTCACACTTACCCATGCACATTCATGCATGCAGATTTGTACCGCATTAATATCGCCCCTGTTCACCCATTCCTGGTGCTCGCGGGATTGACAAAAGGCTGGTGAATGAGATCTTGCTCCAATAACAGGCCACACTCTACTTCTGGCTGTTTCTTTGGTGGCCTGCTTCCTGCTTGACCCTGAGAGAACGATAGAGACTGAAACAAAGGTCGTGAGTCCAGGTGAACACCCAAAACCACACGTAACTGCAACTTGTATGTATACACACACAAGGTGTATTTTTCACCTTATATGCGTCCCCGCTGATTGCCCGGGGGATTGAGCTGAATGACATCAGGGGCGTAGGAGTTGGATAGTGAGGTGTGGTGATCGCCAGTGGGGAGCAGTTGAGAAAAAGAGTAACAAACAGGAAACTGTCTGCAAACCGTGTGAGTATGTGTAGGTTGTGTACGTATGTTTATCAGTTGTGGAGACAAGCCAGAGATGTGTTCGTGGGCGCCCACGGTTGTACGTGTGTGTGTGTGTGTGACGAAATACTTGAATAGATTGTTCGCATGTGTGTTTTCGGCAAATCTGGCCTGACCACAAATCTAATGCGCTGTGACGACAACAGCGGGCATGTAGGTGGGGAGGGTAGTCACGGTCTCGTCGATGGCGAATCAACGGATTTCGACCACGTGTGCATCCGGTCGGGGCAGTAACGGAACTGCTGCAAAATGGGAGACGTTTTGTGCAATCTGTCAGCGCAGAACCCCGGCCGGAACTCGCTGGCCCTGTAAGGCAGATGTTGGGCGACATTTGTAGAAAAAATCTGATGTTTACAACTTGATAACAACTTCAGGAGAAAAAGAAACATTGAGTTTCATGCCAGAACGAATAAGGGACTGAGTATGCGCGTGTCATCGTGCACGAATCAGACAGAACTGTTTGTCGATTTCGGTGCAAAATCAAAATTCGTTTTGCAGACACAACACAATTGACAATTAGTTGACAAACAGCGAAACAATATTTCGGTGGGAGGATGCTGCTTCACGCATTCGTTCGCCATCTGGATATAAAAGACTGAGATGCATGCACGAATGACACTACACTACAAAAGTAAGTCCTACACGAGCGAACGATTTGCTTCAGCTCCGATTTTCCACTTGATGCAGAATACGCCACCCAGTTAGCCAGACTCTGACTTCCGCCGGCAACGCATAATAGTGAAAGTGAAGTATTCGGTCTGCAATGATATGAAAGGCCAATTAACGGAATGAAGAAAATAGCTTCACAAAGCAGAACACTGACAAGGGTGATACACCACTGATGCAAACTTTAGCGTTTAATCCTTTATTAAGGCTGTTTTTTAGTCGCGGCCAAATTAGATTGTTCACATTTCCGAGACCTCTTTCGCAATTTATCACCCCTTTCCACTCGACACCAAAGAACTCCCGGGAATCCACAGTGCATGCGGTCATAGTGAAATACACTATCAAGGTTACTTTTTCAGTCATATCGACAATCACCTTGAGTGGCACATGGTACACTAGTGATTCTTTACCTCTGTAATTATAGTAATCGCGATCACGATTGGCACATCCGGTTGATTTACGCTGTCGATTCGGACAGCGTAATGGTTGACTTGAGGAAGAATGATTTGATTGAATAATAGCATGGGAAAACTCTTTTTGGTTCATGAACACAGAAGTGATTGGTATCCGAACCATAGGAAATTCACAACCGAGTTTCACGTCGGAATACCTAGTGACCAGCTCTTTAAAGGTATGACGACGCCAGAATACGTAGAACTCAGTTTATGAAGTCCCTCTATTTCCTGACAGCCGATCATCAAGCTATTCTACAAAGACATGCGGACATAGACTTATTCAATATTATGTGGGACAAAAAGGGACGAATCTGTATAGCTGAAGCAGCGTATTCGACACCATCAGTGAATAAAAACTCAGAAGTATGACTTTACTAGAGGGCAACACTTTGCATTTTCGAGAGGGCAGTGTGGAACACCATGACCATTCATCAGTGGTTGTTGCGAACTGCCGTATTTACTGAGATGTGTCGGTTTTCACATTTAGTCCTGACTGGCGTGTCCGATGTTGACAGCACTCAGTATGACGTTTGAGAAACTCACTGCATTCCAAAGAGAAAGTAAGAATAAATGAAGTTAGCGGATGACTTGAATGATGATTTTGAAAATTTGAATCTTTTAAACCTACTAGCAACAGCCTTAACGGTGTTTCACAGACTGCGGACTACATAGCTACTTACGAGTAGTCAAAGCAAAATAACTGTTCGACATTACTCAAAAATCCGCGGCCAAGAAATGCCGAATGATCAATTGACAATTGGAGACAGTTTTTGAGTTGTCGACAAAACTGCACTTATTGTACGCGCCCAGTGTTCATAATCCAGGCGTACTCAGCGTACGCAGGCGGGGTAATGTTACCGTGCCCACCTCGTACAGAAGGTGCCCGAAGTCAAAGTTCAGACATCCGAAGATATTTATTATTGTACTGGTCCAGTAGAAGATTTCTATGCATTTTCCCATTCGTCTGGGTCTGCCAACATCAGTACTATGGGATGAAAGGCTAGTTAAACGGGAGTTATGGAGTAATTTCCAAAAATTTCCACAAACTGCTACATGCGTAGGCACCAAGATCTAGCCGGCTTACATAGCTAAATTGATTCCAAAGTTGGTAAGCCAGTTCTCACAAACTTTTGGAAAGCCAAACTATATGTACGGTACCGAATGCTTTCACAGCATAACACATGAGAACTTGGATACACATTTTCACGGTTCGAAAGAGGTGTGTTTGGTTGTCCCCATTGGGATTTCAAGTGTGGACGAGTAGTGAGATTTCACATTACAACGGACATGTACCGACAGGTCACTGGAAACTTAAGCGGATATTTAGCGATGTGGAGGCTATGAACCCACAAGAGAGCTCTGCAATTTAATTTGCTTGTTGTTGAAAACAGTTTCATTTTACCCGTCAGGGGCCGACAGGTCGGACTCCGATATTTTCAGGAGTGTACGGTGTCTACAAGTACAGCTACTGGCAAAAGCGTGTCCACTGCTTGATCCGAACAATCCAACCAGGAAAGTACAACTGATATTGCAGCAATCTTGGCCGTTCTTTTGCGACTAGAGTCTCCACTGAATACTCCGTACTCGAATATACCAACCATATACTGGAAACTCTGGAATCCAACTGAGATTGTTATAACCGTGAAAATAAAACAGACTTGCTAATTTGCAGCCGCACCGGAAGATAGTGAGGACCCTGTTGTCGATAATTGTGTTAGCTTAGTTGCTTCGTAAATCGCAATGAAACTAGGCACTATCACTGGAATATGTAGGGGCTTTCAACAGCATATTCAGCTGAAGAATTTTACAAAAGAGAGTAATCTGAGTCTACCGGTGACGCTATTTTAATTTCCAATTAGAGCTAGTCCCCATGGTTGATCTTCGTTTTTAACACTGTCCCAAAGATGAGCTTCACATCGTATTTGAACGTTAAGGTAACCCTAAAATAGCCAAAATTGTGTGTACGTATTGTCGAAACGGCAGGCAAAGTTTTGGAAACTAAACTGTAGACTCGATGCTTAGCAGAGATTTTCAACAGCTGTTCTTCAGATACTGATTCCATGTACCTAGGTTTTGTTGTTCCAGATGGTAGTTGAATATAAGAAGCATAAGTAGTTGGGAAGAAGATGGATAACGAAAACGTTCAGATGGCCTTACGTGACCAAAGGAGAAAAATTTGTGATATCGAAACCAGCCCCTAGAAAGGAGATAACGCAACCGAATGAATTCATTCTACTAAGATAATCAAAACAAAGTTTGAGGATAGAAAATCTTCCGCTTACAGTAGTTTTACTCCAAAACCGCTTGATCTGAGGAAAAAACTTCCTAGTATTTTAAATGTAAACGTCTTGGTGATTACTTTGCAGACTTCCCGATGTAACACGATATCTGACCATTCGCTTGAACGCTCCAGTCGCTTTGATCCAGCTGCCTCCAAGTAATAGCATGTATATAGTGTTCGAGTTGAATACTGCTATTGTCACCGCATTACCTAAAGGATTTCCCGCGCCTCCATGAAGTAAAACCACCGGGGTTTTGTAGGTTACATTGAAAATGGCAATTGGAAGACCGGCTCCTTAGAACTGCACGCAGACTGCCAATGGTTATAGCTAAACGGACCTTGGTGATTTCTGAAGCCCTTGAAGCCACATTCAAAACAACTGTATGCAGTTGTTCAGACTTACTGATTCAGAGGTACACGGTTAGCGCATCAAAGAAATATTCATGTTCAACATAACAAATAACGGGATTTCAAAACTCGGTCGCGGTCTTGAATTAACATAGTTTCGACCTGTAATAAGGATGAAACCCATGTGTATTTTTTAACGATTTGGGCTGACTTGTTTAAACAAATCAAGATCTGAAGGCCATGCAGTCAAAGTCGAGATACCTCTTGTGGGGAAAGCACGCACTTCACAATCTACTAATCTGTATGTGGATGAATAATGAAGAAATTGATGAGGTGCCTTTCATCTGAATCAAATTTCTGGTGACACCTGCTTTATCATCCGCGTACTCGGCAGAATATGTCACCCACCGAGAAAAGTAATGTTTTCCATGCCACATTCAGAGGGATGAAACGCGAAAGGTGGGTAAAAAATAACATGGGAACGGGGACTTGAAGAGGTCGTTGAACATCAGTATGCTTTTGATGCACTTAACCTTGCACAACAGGGACAAATGTGATGCTCTTTATACATTCATGGAAAGGTCGCAAGAAGTGACCACTAACCAAGCGCCAAGTTTTCCGTATGAGTCGCACAATGGTTCATTTGAGCCAGTTATTTAGTAACGATAGAAATTTGCTAAGTCTTGGGTGCCAAGAAAACTGAAATCAAAGTTTGTGAAGGAATCCGAAGTGACGCTGCTGAAGGACGGTTGATAAGTTTCTTAAATATGCAGTAGGTCACACAAATGATATTCGCGGATCATGAGAAAATAAGCTAATTGGTTGGCCTGAGACGATTGGTCTGCTTCTGATGTAGTATGGAAATGAAAGAGATAGCTCGTTCTACGCAGAGTGCAAGTGATGATACTCTACGGTTTGGAACTTCCCTTTTGTTGTAGACTAAACCGAAAGAAGAATATGCC